TTTGTTTATACTGTAAATTAAAATCTGCAAGTCTGACCTTAAAAAAAAGTAAATGTTCATAAATTAACTAAAGAAGTTTCTGGAAGTGATTAAAAAAAAAAAAAAGCAGTATAGAAAGGAAAGGGAAAGATTATGTGTGGTAAAAATTGCTCAACAACTCTGATTTTATAAGGATGTATTAAGAATATCCACAGGACTTTCAACATTACTTTTCTGTGCAACATGATAATATATGTATGATTTTTAAAAACTGGGCTGGGTGCAGTGGCTCACACCTGTAATCCCAGCACTTTGGGAGGCTGAGATGGGTGGATCACCTGAGCTCAGGAGTTCGACACCAGCCTGGGCAACACGGTGAAACCCCGTCTCTACTAAAAATAAAAAAAAAATAGCTGGGCATGGCAGTGTTCACATGTAGTCCCAGCTACTCGGAAGGCGGAGGCAGGAGAATCATTTGAATCTGGAAGGCGGAGATTGCAGTCAGCTGAGATCGCGCCACTGTACTCCAGCCTGGGCGACAGAGTGAGAGTCTGGCTCAAAAAAACAAACAACAAAAAAAACCCTGTTCTGAACTGTATCATTTCTCTATTGTGGCATAACAAATTACCCCAAAACTTGGTATTTTAACATAAGTATTACTTTATTATTATCTCTCATAGTTCTGAGAATTGGTGTGGTTCTCACACAGGGTCTCTCATGCAGTTGCAGTCAGATTAGAGGCTGGGGCTGGAATCCTTGCAAAGGTTTCCTCACTCAGAAGTCTGGTGGTTGATGTTGGCTGTCTGCCTGAACACCCACAGCTGGCCTCTCCATTGGCCTGGGCTTCCTCAAAGCATGTGGGCTGGTTTTAAGAACAAGTATCCCAAGAGAACTAGGTGGAATCTGTGTTTCACTTTTTATGACTTAGTCTCAGAGTTCACACAGTGTCTCTCCCTCCATAGTCACAGATTCAAGGATTAGGGAAACAGACTCTACTTCTAGATTGAAGGAGTGCCAATGTCACATTGTAAAGACTAGCATATAGGATGGAAGATCTTCCAGCATCTAGAAAAATTCAATTAGACACATCACTGGTTCTGTTGTTAATATGTATAAATATAATTTGAACAGATTTCTTATAAGACTCCAATTTTTTAAATTGTTGCCATATCCTGTTGAAAAAAAAAAATTGTGCTAGATATTTTCTGTCTGCCCTGTTAGAACTACTCTCCACTGGTCTCCATGTTCTGTGCCCCTGAGTGCTGGCCTGAATGGACTGCATTAGTAAACTCTCTTGCCCTCTGTCTTCCTGGGTCCTACCAGTGCATAGTACCTATATAAGATCAAAGGTTTGGAAGAAATGAGGTCAAGGTATTTATTCCCTAGCTGGATTATGGATTTGGCATATTTCTGTAGGCACCACTTCTGTCTGAAGACTATCTTCTATCCCTACATTTTCTTTTTTTTTTTTTTTTTTTTTTTTTTGAGACAGAGTCTCTCTCCATTGCCCAGGCTGGAGTGTAGTGGTGTGATCTCAGCTCACTGCAACCTCCACCTCCCAGGTTCAAGCAACATTCCTGTCTCAGCCTCCCGAGTAGCTGAGACTACAGGCACCTTCCAACACACCCGGCTAATTTTTATATTTTTAGTAGAGACAGAGTTTCACCTTGTTGGTCAGGCTGGTCTCGAATACCTGACCTCAGGTGATCCACCTGCCTCGGTCTCCTAAAGTGTTGGGATTACAGGTGTGAGCCATCGCACCTGGCCTAACCCTACACTTTATGGGTTCCCATTGCTGCTCCCTTCTTTTGCCTCTTTAGGGATAGTAGTAGTGATGGATCCCCCTATTGCTAGTCCCGGCATGCTTCACTCTTTGGTTTTTCTTACCCAGTCTACAACTTTGTAAGCAGTAATTACTTAGCATACATAAGCCTAATAATACAACTTTCAAAACCTCTGATAAGGGATCTTACTGAAAATAACTTTATAATTGACTTTATTTTTAAGAGACAGGGTCTCACTATGTTATTTAGGCTGATTTCGAACTCCTGGCCTCAAGTCATCCCTCCATCCTCAGCTTCTTCCTCTGAGTAGATGGGATTACAGGCATGAGCCACCATGCCTGGTTTATAATTAACATTGTTTTCTTAAAGAATGTAAATACCCATAATATTGCTCTATCAAATCATCTATAACATAGAAAGCAATCCTGTTACTCTGCCATATTTGCTTTTTTTTGAGACAAGGTTTTCCTCTGTTGCCTTGCCTGGAGTGCAGTGGCACAATCTTGGCTCACTGCAACCTCTGCCTCCTAGAGTATCCTCCCACCTCAGCCTCCCGAGTAGCTGCGACTACAGGCACCTGCCCCTATGCCCGGCTAATACTTTAATTTTGGGGAGTGGCACAGTCAGAGGTAGAGACAGGGTCTTGCTCTGTCGCCCAGGCTGGTCTTGAACTCCTGGGCTCAGATAATCCTCCCTCCTCAGCCTCCCAAAGTGCTGGGATTACAGGAGTAAGCCACAGTGCCTGGCCAAGTATTTGCTATTTTAATAGAGGTCAAGAAATGTCATTTAAATTAACTACATTAGGCCGGGCTCAGTGGCTCATGCCTGTAATCCCAACACTTTGTAAGGCCTAGGCGGGTGGATCACTTGAGGTCAGGAATTCCAGGCCAGCCTAACCAACCGTCTCTACTAAAAATACAAAACTTAGCCAGGCGTGGTGGCAGGCACCTGTAATTTTAGCTACTCAGGAGTTTGAGGCAGGAGAATCACTTGAACCCAGGAGGCAGAGGTTGCCGTGAGCTGAGATCACGCCACTACACTCCAACCTGGGTGACAGAGCGAGATCCGTTCAAAATTTTGGGTTCAAAATTAACTACGTTAAACAAGCAATTACACTTATTTAATTACATTTATGTAAGTGCTGCAAAGTGAAAATGTATGAAGAGCTGTAACAGGGGAAACTGACTTTTCAAGTGGTGAGCTGGCTTCCCTAAAGAAAGGCATTTAAGGAAATCAGAGGAAGGAGGGGGATAGGTTTTTGAGACAGGGTCTCACTGTCACCCAGGCTGAGATCATGGCTCACTGCATCCTCGTATCTCCCATACACGTCCAGGTTTCTCCACCCAATGCGCCTGCGCAGAGGCCTAGCCCAATCAGACACACCCCAGGACTGCCAGGGGCGGGGACCGTCTTCTCCGCTCTAGAGGTACCCCAGGAAAGGCCGGGTTACGTTTCGTCCGGAAAAGTGAGGCCCAGGGTTCCACTTAATTGTTACCGGAAGTGGGGGGAAGCATTGCCAGGGCAGGGCAGACACTGTGACTGACCAGACGGATGGCAGGCACTTGCCTGGGGGTAGCGAAGTAGTGGCATTTGCGGCTAGGTCTGTCCACGTCTGTCTTAAGAGAAGGATGCGATGCCGGGGGAGAGGGAGGCGGAGACATTGGGACTGGGTGGTCGGCCCAGGGCCTCCGAGACCAAGCCACCCCACCTGAAGACGCTCCTCCTCAGGGCGAAAGCGCAGAGACCGCAAATCCTGGGCGCTGCTACGGAAACTGACGCAGAGTCTAAGAGACCAGCTCAGATTGCCACCTGGCCAGGCCCATGCACATTGGTAAAGAAATGTTTGAAATGTGTATTATTTTCACGTTTATCTGTGTATTATTCACTTGTGTTTTCTGTGTTTAATGTGAAGCCTAGAGTTGACCTTGGGAGCTTCAGCAGCAGAGTGCTAATTTTTCTTGCAAGCTATGTAAGCAGTGAAAGGAAGGTGACAATGGCTACTGGAAATTCACCGTAGTCCCTCCTCTTCCCCAGAAGTGGTCACAATTACAGGTGCTTTCCTGTCCCCTGCTCTATACTGCACAGCCCAAGTGCATTTATGGGAAAAAAAAACCATGGAGATGGAGACTGATCCCTAATAACATTCTGTAAAATGCCATCCTTCAAAAAAACCAAATATCCTTGTAAGAAAGTTAAAACATTTGGTCAAACTATTATTTTAGGCCAGGCAGTCGCTCACACCTGTAATCCCTACACTCTGGGGGCGCCACAGGAGCAGCATTGCTTGAAGCCACAAGTTCAAGACCAGCCTAGGAACATAGAAATCCCACTCATCTCTACCCCCAAAAATTAGCCAGGTGCGGTAGCATAAGCCTATATATGGCAGAAGCTGTGGCAGGAGAATTGCCTGAGCCCTGGAGTTGCAGCAAGCTGTGACTGACTACGTTCCAGCCTGGGTGATGGAGCAAGAAACCCTATCTCTAAAAATTAGAGTCCATCCATAAAAATCAGTCCACTTATTTAGACCAGCCGTCTATATTTTCCAGTTCATCAAGTATAATACCTACTTCTTAAAATTTTATGTGCTGAAGGGTCAGACACAGTGGTTCATGCCTGTAATCCCAGCACTTTGGGAGGCCGAGGCAGGCAGATCACAAGGTCAGATCGAGACCACCCTGGCTAACACAGTGAAACCCCATCTCTTATTAAATACACAAAAAACTTAGCCAGGCGTGGTGGCAGGCACCTGTAGTCCCAGCTACACGGGAGGCTGAGGCAGGAGAATGGCGTGAACCTGGGAGGCAGAGCTTGCAGTGAGCCCAGAACGCGCCACTGCACTCCGTCTCAAAAAAAAAAAAAAAAAAAAAAAAAAAAATTTTATTTAGAATACTTTCAAAGGCATAAATGTTAAATACACCACACAGATTTTACAGCTTAATGAGGGATTCTATTTCTCCTCTTTCTGGCTTAGTTTCTTGCCTTGAAGCCCAGTATTCCATAAATTTTTTAGGGCAATTTTTCAAGTTTGAAGTATTGACCTCAACTGGGAATCCTGTTAAAATTCAGTTTCTAATTCAGCAGGTCTAGGGTAGGGACTTGATTGAGATTCGGCATTTCTCAAAATCCCACGTTGGGCCAGTGAGCCTTGGACTTGAGATTAACAAGGCTTTAATCAACACACGCATCCTTGTATCTCTACAAAGACCCATTAGGTAATTACATATAAAATAGAGACTAAGAATTAAAACAAGAACTTTATTAAATATACAAAACAGGAATACAGTTCAATTACTGTGTCTAAAAAATTTCATTTTTACATAACCAAGGAAATATTTACAACTATATACAAAAGACTCCCACCTGTGTATAACCTTTGGTCCATCTGTGCTATTTCTCATATCTGCAAGAGAAACCTAAAATGTTAATATTTGAGTATTAAGTATTTACATCTTTTTGTGTTGGTTTTTAAATGTACAAGTACCCCTGAATGGCTCAAAGGGATAGGATAATGCTAGCTAGAAACACTAACTTGTAATAAAGTGCAGTTTTCATGCAAACTTAGCCATTAGTTTTCTCCTTTCAGACAGGTATCCACAGTCCATATGGACTTTTTTTCTTATCTATTTTTGGTGATCTTGAAGATGTCTCTTCTGTGGCAGCTTTAGCTGATTTTTGTATTGGTTTTGCTACAGAATTCTGTAAAAAAACAAATTCAGTCAGCTTCCCAAACATGTAATTATATACTTTCACACAAAAAAGTACATTAAATAATCCCATGTACAAGCCTTAGAGATATCAACTGTTGGGCGTGGTGGCTCACGCCTGTAATCCCAACACTTTGGGAGGCTGAGGCGGGCGGATCATGAGGTCAGGAGATGGAGACCATCCTGGCAAACACAGTGAAACCCTGTCTCTTTACTAAAAATACAAAAATTAGCTGGGTGTGGTGGCATGCGCCTGTAGTCTCAGCTACTCGGGAGGCTGAGGCAAGAGAATCGCTTGAACCCAGGAGGCAGAGGCTGCAGTGAGCCAAAATCACACCACTGCACTCCAGCCTGGGTGAGAGCAAGACTATCTCAAAAAAAAGAAAGAGGCCAGGCGCGGTGGGTCACGCCTGTAAATCCCAACACTTTGGGAGGCCAAGGTGGGCGGATCACGAGGTCAGGAGATCAAGACCATCTTGGCTAACACGGTGAAACCCCCAGTCTCTACTAAAAATACAAAAAACTAGCCGGGCATGGTGGCGGGCGCCTGTAGTCCCAGCTACTCGGGAGGCTGAGGCAAGAGAATGGCGTGAACCTGGAGGCGGAGCTTGCAGTGAGCGGAGATTGGGCCACTGCACTCCAGCCCAGGCAACAGAGCGAGACTCTCTCCAAAAAAAAAAAAAAAAAAAGATATTATCAACCAAACATAGTATGAACCTTAATTGTAGCTTGATTCAAAATGTAAAGTGAAGACACTGGGGCAGCAGGGAAACACTGGACATACACAAGGTGTAATGATTTGGGGGCTTCATTTTTGAAACCGTATTTTAAAACATTGTGATTAAGGAGTATTCTAAAGATTTCCCTTTAAAATATTTCAATAAAAAAGGGGAGACACTTAAAGGCAAAATATCGAAACGAATGTGAATGTCAGATAGGTTATGAACCCATTGTAATGGCCACTTGTAAACATGGCTCAAAAACAAACGATTTTAATTCTATTTAAAAACTGTGTCAGTAGGCCCCCAATTACCACCACGAAGATAAAAACACAAAGATGCAAACACATCCTAAATCCAATTTTTGAGTGATCAATGCCTGGACATACTTACATTAGAGCTAAAAGCTATGCTTCTTTGCTGGGAAGGTTTTTCACTAGGATTTCTAGTTCCATCTTCTGTTACCTTTTCTGACAGCTAGACAGGTCAAGAAAAAGTGTAATTTTAAAACACATACCCTTGGTTTCTAAATCCTATATTAAAAAATAATCTAATTGTATACAAAATTTAGTTGTAGACACAAAAATCAACTTGGATCTAACCATATATTCAACAGCTGAAGTAACAGAATTATTAAGTTTTCCCCTTAACAAAACTGATTTAATATTAGGCTTAAGACGTTCTTCTCATAATTATTTGACTTCCCTGCTGACAAATTTAAGTAATTTTTAAACTAGTTTTTTAATCAGTTTTCTCAGGTTGAATCAAGTTAACTTTTGAAAAGTAAAGCCACATCAGAAATACCTAGCTTTAAGAAGCTAAGACATTTGCCAGTTAGGCACCTAATCGTCTGAACAAAGACCTTGTCTACTAATACTAAGCAAACCCACATCTGGGCCCAATTACACAGATTCATTTAGATACAGCATCTTTTTTTTTTTTTTCCTCGAGACGGAGTCTCGCTTTGTCACCCAGGCTGGAGTGAAAAGTACAGTGCAATTTGCTAATGCACATCCTGCACATTTGTGGAGAATTATAATAAACTTATCTGCAAGTGAAGCAGGCCTCCTCTTCTGTAATCTCTCAAAACATCTGGAATATATTGCATATATTATGAAAGGGACATCTTTTTCACAGATGCCCCACCATTACAACGTGTACCTTTGCTTACTTTAAAAATTGACTTTAATACTGTATGCAAATAGTACCTGTCCCAAATTCTAGCATGCACATGTATCTAACCAACAAAGAAAACTAAGTTTTCAGTGTGAACAAAACTTCAAATTAAACCTCTGATGCTTTAGACCATGTATCAATTACCAACAGATTTTCTTCATCAATGTCTGCAGACCACATTCATGATTTCTATAAGACAGAAATAAAGCAGATAAACTATACTGTATATGCTGAGTACAGATTTGTGGGAACATAATGCTGCAAATGAAAGCTACGCACTGTAAATAGCTTAGAAAACCTGGTAATAGAATCACCGAAGTACCAGCTACAATATGTTAATGGTGTTATAAGAGTACAGTGTTAACTGAAAATGAAAAATTAAATGTATTTCTTGAGACAGGGTCTCACTCTGCTGCCCAGGCTGGAGTACAATGGTGCAATCTTGGCTCACTGCAACCTTAGTATCCTGGGCACAGAGATCCTCCTGCCTCAGCCTCCCAAACAGCCAGCACTACGGGCATGCGCCACCATGCCTGGATAATTTTTGTATTTTTTGTAAACACGCGGTTTTTCCACTTTGCCCAGGCTGGTCTTGAACTCCTAGACTCAAGCCATCTGCCTCATTACAGGCAAGAGGCACCATGCACGGCCAAATAAAGTTCATTAATCTCCCATTTTCATGGGTATGACACCTTGCTTATCTTCAGATCTGCCACTAAAGTTCATTAATCTCCCATTTTCATGGGTATGACCTTGCTTATCTTCAGATCTGCTACTCTGAATTTAGCACATCATATACATAACTAGACTTCCCAAAAAGTATAGTCTAAGGTAAATAGTAAGTGGCTTATCAGATTTGACAGTTGGTTTTCTGAACGTTTTGTTGGGACAAACCTAGAATACTTACTTCAGGCTTTGCACCATTTGATACACCTATTCCATGGCTTGTTTCTTTGGTTACATGTACAGTTCTGAGACTAGCTGGCAAGTCAATGTTGGTTGTTCCTAAAGCTTTCGCTGCATTGGCTTTTGCTATTTCTAACAGCTCCATTCGATCTGGAAAAAAAAAAAATTTTTTTAAATTCATTCATCTGGTAGTTTTTCCCCCCAAGAGAACTCAGAATTACAAAATAAGCATGTTATTTTGTGGTATTAAATGTATTAAGTCATTTGTTTGTAACACGTAAAGTAAGGTTGCCCTTTAACACTGGTTTGAGCTGCGCTGGTCTACTTTATAGTTAGATTTCTTTTCTACCTACTAAATGCAGATAGAAAGTACCACAGTATTTGAGACTCTAAACCCCAAGCGTGCGTGAGGGTTCCATATGCGTCCTGGCATCAATCCCCCGAGTGAACAGAGAGACAACTGTGTAACTTTATTCACTGAAAACTCAACTCTCCAGCTCACTTCTTGCTGAAATAAAATTCTTAAATAATCTTAGTTTTCAGTTTTCCTGACTAAAGGCCTGAGCGTTCTACTATTTTGTCTTTTTGTTGTAACTAATTTTCTCTACTTAATAGTGGTATTATTTCGCTTTTTCTTCAAAGATGTATTTCTGAAAACCACGGTTTTCTGCAACAGATTCTTTATATGGTACAATTATCACAACCACTGAACCAATACTGATACACTCAAGTGTATTTCTACCACCACCCCCGACTAATTTTTGTATTTTTACTAGAGATAGTGAGCTACGTCGGCCAGGCTGGTATGGAACGCTTGGCCTCAAGTGACCCGCCCGCCTCCGGCTCCCAAAGTGCTGGGATCGCAGGCGTGAGCCACCGTGCCGGCCTCCTAAGTCATTTAAGATACTCGACAATTCAATTGTATTCAGTAATAATGTCAACTAAAAGGCAGCGTGTTTTGATGATGTTCTTCCCAATCTATAAATTTAAAACCTTTAACTTAATCATAACATTTAAAAGGCTCCACCACCAAGAACAGTCAGCCAATAGGAAAAAAGGTTCCCTACATCCTGAGCCATTTAACATCCGATTGACCTTTAACCCTGAAGAGACAAAATGCTGTCCACTAACTACAAGTAATGTCCTCCCTCTTTCCTCCAGCGAAAAAGATTTCCAGCACCAAAGGAACTAATATTGAAACTACACAGCAACTTTGGTTCCCTAACCTCCTCGTATACTGTCACCACACATTACCAAAACCAGAAAGGTAAATGACCCACCCACCTTTCTCACTTAAGCGAAAGGGGGTTCTGCTCCGCGACCTCGTCCTGGATCTGTCCCTCCATCTGCTGCGCTCCTCCGGATACACTGTGCGACCAAAGCCGTAGTAGCGCCGCCCCCGCGCCATCGCGTACGCCCTTCCGTAGTACGACCTTTCCCGAGAGCGCGACCTGCTACGGGACCGGGACCGCGAAGGAGACCGGTAGTATCTCCTGGAGAAGCCGTAGCGCCTCTCTCGGTAACGGCGGCTGCGAGATCGCGACCGGCTCCGCGAGTATGACCGCGAGTAGCGCCTGTACTTCCGCTGATGGCGCCTTCGGGAACGGGACCTTGACCTCCTGCTCCGGCTCCGACTCCGACTCCTGGACGAAAACTGACTCGAGACGCGGGAACGGGACCGAGAGCTTCTGGAAAAAGAACGGCTCCTAGACCGCGACGAGAGCCGGCTGGACCCGCCCGACCGCGAGGCGGAGGGCGAATCCTTCTCCTGCGGCGAGCCGGGCCACATGTCGTTCACGTAGTTGGACATCTTCCGCTGCGGCCTTAGCCTGCGCTTTCTCCGGAAAGGATCCCGCAAGCCTCAACTCACGACTTCCTAAAAATCCCAGGGAGAAAAACGAGTCGCGTCGCGGAAGCGGGCGCCCGGCCACCCGGAAGCCACAGTCTGGGGCCCTCCGGGAGGCGGAGCCACGGCGCGGGCGGCGGCCGCGGCGAAGGGAATCAGCCCTAAAAACTCTGCTTGGCGCCGAGGCCGCAGCCCCGAAGCGAAACGCTGCCTTCCCCAAACACAAGCCCGGCACGTTTCCCGTCGCTCACTCCTGAGAGACCCCGTCAGCAGAAAACTTACCGCAGGCCGTCGACGCCTCCCTCACGACTGAGAGAAAGGCCCAACAGACGCCCTCCTTTCGGAACGTAGGACTAAAAGGAGCTTTTAGTACCCACTCTCGAACAGCGAACTCCAACACTTCCACCTCCGACGTCCGGACGCGCACTGAGAACCTGCGTCAGCAGACGCGTCGAAAGTACCAGAAGCTGGCCCCCGGCGCATGCGCAGAGACGTTCCGTAGCGGGCGTGGCTCTCCTTTCGCCCAATCACCGCCCTGCCTCATCCCTCCCCCAAGTCGCGCCCTTGCCTCCACGGTGCTCATGCGCGATGGGGCTCCAGGGGGCGGTGCTTGGTACATCCGGGTGTCCCGTTGCCCTTGGCTTTTTTTTTTTTTTCTTCTTCTGTCTCTCCCCCGTCTGAGATAATTGCGGGGCAGAAAACTTCTAAGATGGGACGGTCCCGCCTGGCGCTACACCAGACTCTGGCTTCGCTACACCAGGCTCTGGCCTTACTGCACGGGCGGGGCTGGACGACAGTGCCGGACGGGGAGTAGGGCCGGGGGAGGAGCGGCCGCAGGCTGCGGAGGGCTGGGAGCGGGTGCCGTCTGACAGGCAGGTGCCCACAGGGTCGTTGCAGCCACGCGCCGGTAAGTCGCAGACCCGGCCTGAGCCTCCCTGGACCCTTCCTGGCCTCTTCCTCCTGTCCTGGGTACCGCGGCGCCGGGAGACGGCGACCGAGTCCACACCCCGCCATGACGGAGAGGGGACTGCGCCCTCCCCCGGGACACCCCAAGATCCCTGGAAATGCAGTATTAACGTAGAAAAGGTGTTTTACTTCCTTGTTTTGGCTGGGAAGGTAATAAGGTCGAGACAAAATAAAAGGACTCACAGTTGACCTTTAATCTGGGCATGAGAATGAAGTCTGAGATACCTCTTCCAAAAACTGTTTGGTGTAAGAGTGTAAACAAAGGTGACTATTTTACTTCTAGGGTTCTACAAATAGGATGCATTTCAAACACTTCTTGTTGTAATAAAGCATAACAATAGCCTTGAAAATTGTGGATTAATTGCTTTTTTTTTTTTTTTTTTTTTTGAGACAGGATCTCACTCGCCCAGGCTGGAGTGTGGTGGGACCCTCATGGCTCACTGCAGCCCAGGCTCCCGAAGAGCTGGAACTACAGGCATGCACCACCACGCTATTTTTTTTATTTTTTTAGCCACGGAATCTAACTGTGTTGTCCAGGCTGGTCTCCAACTCCTGGGCTCAAGCGATTCTCCCGCCTGAGTCTCCCAAAGTGCTGGGATTACAGGCGTGAACCACTTTGCCCAGCCTATACATTTCTTTACAAGTACATTTTGACAAAAGCCACTTTCTTTAGAGGGAGATACAAACTCACTCATCTCTTATTCATCTTCATCCCACATGTCCGCAGTTCATCCACATCTCCTGAGGATGCATCATGATGGAAGTAGTTCTTAAACAGTTTTTCTATATCTCAAGACAATAAAGATACAATGCCCATCCATCAGAAACTTTTGCCGAAAGTTCTCATAAAGCTGTGTGAGTGGACAGAAAAATAACACGAGGCCCGGCGCCGTGGCTCACGCTTGTAATCCCAGCGCTTTGGGAGGCCGAAGTGGGTGGATCACCTAAAGTCAGGAGTTCGAGACCAGCCTGGCTAACATGGCAAAACCCCATCTCTACTAAAAATGCAAAAATTAGCTGGGCATGGTGGCGAGCGCCTGTAATCCCAGCTACTCAGGAGGCTGAGGCAGGAGAATTGCTTGAACCTGAGAGGCGGAGGTTGCAGTGAGCCGAGATCGTGCTATTGCACTCCAGCTTGGGCAACAAAAGCAAAACTCCATCTCAAAACAAACAATAATAATAACACGAGTTTCACATTTGACAAGTATAAAAATGATGTGGTAGGGGAACTAAACTATGCTTATGATACAGTCTTGAGCTCTTGGTTATGAATAGGAAAGGATGGAACGAGTCTCTGTAGATAGTTCATTGTATCAGTCAATGTGTGCCTAAAAAATGGTGACCAGAAAAATCCTAATTTTTTTTTTTTTTTTTTTTTAAGATAGTCTCGCTCTAGTGCCCAGGCTGGACATGCAGTGGTGCGATCTTGGATTTACTGCAGCCTCTGCATACTGAGTTCACACGATTCTTGTGCCTCAGTCTCCCAAGCATCTGGGTTTACAGACGTGCATCATCACGCCGGCTAACTTTTTTTGTATTTTTAGCAGAGATCGGGTTTCGCCATGTTGGCCAGGCTGGTCTCGAAATCCTGACCTCAAGTGATCTGCCTGCCTTGGCCTCCCAAAGTGCTGGGATTACAGGCATGAGCCACTGTGCCCAGCAAATCCTGGATATTAACAGGATTTTGGAAACAGTGGGAAACATGACTTAGCTCTGGTGCAGAATGCTGGTGTATTTGTCTCAAAAACATATGCGGTCTACCTGAGTTAAAGTCTAAGGATGTCACCTTCCTTTATTTCTCTAAACACTATATATTCTCTGAGCGTCTATCCACTCACCTAATTAAAAAAATTCAACTTTAGTTATTAGAACATCTAGTACTGAATTTGTAGGCTAATTTAGGTAGAAATAACATCTTTACAATAGCAAATCTTCCCATCTAAGAATGTGACAATGTTGTAACCAAGCGAGTTATAGAGAAATGTCACATTTTGAGAAAAATTATGGAGTCCTTTGTTAGCCGGTGACCAGGAGACAGCTAGCGCTCAAAATTCTCTCGGCCCCAAAGAAGGGGCTAGATTTTCTTTTATAGTAAGGTCTAAATAGGGGAGGGGGATTTAACTGAAGCAATTTTACAGAAGCAGAATAGGCAAAAAGTTTTAAAAAATTAATTGGTTATAGAAGCAGTTACAAAAATAAACAGTTCCGGGTGAGGGCTTAAGCTATCACTAAGAGATAAATGCAGGGGCTTTGGGTGTCTTCCACCAGGCACATTCCCAGGAGCTGCTGGTACAGCCTGCCTCAATATCTTATCAGCAGGTGCATTCTTGGATAACGATTGCAGTCCAGCTTATAGTTATTCCCTTAAGGGGGATAAAGGGCTGCAAGTAAAGAAACTAAGAGAAATGAGTCTGTCGTCTCTGCTGATCACTCGGGTTAAAACAAGTGGGGTATCCTCACCTAATTAAAAAAATTCAACTGTTATTAGACACTCACCTAATTAAAAAAATTCAACTTTAGTTATTAGAACATCTAGCACTGAATTTGTAGGCTAATTTAGGTAGAAATAACATCTTTACAATAGCAAATCTTCCCATCTAAGAATGTGACAATGTTGTAACCAAGCGAGTTATAGAGAAACGTCACATTTTGAGAAAATGTGGAGTGCATTTTCAATGTGCACTCAGGCTGGAGTGCAGTGGCATGATCTCAGCTCACTGCAATCTCCCTCTCCCAGGTTCAAGTGATTCTCGCAACAAGTTTTAAGTGTGCCATTTAAATTGGGGTTTTTTGTTTATGTCCTTCATTATGGTAGGCAAACCAATCGCCTCCCAAACATGTCCATTCCCTAATTTCCTGGAACCTGTGAATATGTTACCTTAAGGTGGCAAAAGGCATTATGCAGATGTAATTAAGGTTAAGAATATGGAGATGAGATTATCCTGAAGTATCTGGGTAGGCCCAATCTAATCTCAGGAAAGAGTCAAAGCATGAGAAGAATTCCATGCCCTGTTGCTGCTTTTGAAATGTAGGGCCGGGCATGGTGGCTCACACCTGTAATCCCAGCACTTTGGGAGGCCAAGGCAGGCGGATCACCAGGTCAGGCGTTTGAGACCAGCCTGGCTGACATGGTGAAACCCCATCTCTACTAAAAATGCAAAAAGTAGCCGGGCGAGGTGGCGTGTGCCTGGAATCCCAGCTACTTGGGAGGCTGAGGCAAGAGAATCACTTAAATCCGGGAAGCAGAGGTTGCAGTGAGCCGAGATCACACCACTGCACTTCAGCCTGGGCAATAGAGCGAGACTCCGTCTCAAAGAAAAAAATAATTAAAAAAAAAAAAAAAAAAGAAATGTAGGGGCTTATGTGCAAGGGCAGGGAGAGAACTCTAGGGGCTAATGGTGGGTTCCAGCTGACAGCCAGGAAACAGACCTCAATCCTACATCATAGAACTGAATTCGGCCAACACCTGGATGAGCAAGTGTGGGGATCTTCCCCTAGAGCCTCCAAAAAGAATCAAAATGTGGCTGACACCTTGACTCTAACCTGGTGAGACTCCTCACCTGTAGAACTATGAGATATTAAATTTGCATTGTTTTAAGCCACTAACATTGTGGTTATTTATTACCACACCAGTAGGAAAATAAAACATTCAGTAGAATTTGTAGTTTTCCTTTTATCCTTTTTTTTTTTTTTTTTTTTGAGACAGAGTTTCACTCTGTTGCCCAGGCTGCAGTGCGATGGCGTAATTTTGGCTCACTGCAACCTCTGCCTCCTGGGTTCAAGCGATTCTCCTGCCTCAGCCTCCTGGGTAGCTGGGACTATAGGCGTGCACCACACCCACCTAATTTTTGTATTTTTAGTAGAGACAGCGTTTCACCATGTTGGCCAGGCTGGTCTTGAACTGACCTCAGGTGATCCACCCACCTCAGCCTCCCAAAGTGCTGAGATTACAGACATAAGCCACCACACCTGGCTTTTTTTTTTTTTTTTTTTTTTTGAGACAGGGTCTTGCTTTTTTGCCTAGGCTGGAGTGCAGTGGTGCAGTCACAGCTCACTGCAGTCTCGACTTCTCAGGCTGAAGTGATCCTCCCAGCTCAGCTGCCTGCTGGGACTACAGGCCTATACCACTACGCCCAGCTAATTTTATTAATTTTTTGTAGAGATGTATAAAAGCTAACAGTCATTCCCTAGAGGTATAGAATCCTCTAGAAGAGGTCTCCATCCTTCTTCCTCATATCATAGAGGTAACCAATGTTGACATTTTAATGAGTGCACTTCCATAGCTTTCTTTGACATGTCAAATATACCCATATATAGAATTTATTTTTTTTTTTTATTATTTTTTTTTTGAGACAGAATCTCACTCTCTTGCCCAGGCTGGAGTGCAGTGGTGCAATCTCGACTTACTGCCACCTCTGCCTTCCTGGTTCAAGTGATTCCCATGCCCCAGCCTCCCGAGCAGCTGGGAGTACAGGTGCACGCCACCACGCCTGGCTAATTTTTGTTGCTATTGTTGTTTTG